GAAACGGATTTCATCATTTCTTCTTACCGGATGACGATTTTACAACTACTTTTATTCCGACTGATTTTGACTGACTTTCGACTCCTCTTTTTCGTGTTTTTTCTTTTTTTTTTTTTTTTTTTACTTTTCTTTCTTTAAACAAGAATTCTTTAAACGAGAGTTCTTTAAACAAAAGTTTTTTAAGAACTTTCTTCGGTGATTACGTTTAACTACGATATGATATAGCGTAGGGTTTCATAAGTGGAACGAAAAGGATTGCGAGAAATGACAGACGGGACAGCTCGTATTCACGCGATACTTCCGTTGTGGAAAGGTGTCAGCGAAGTATGCGCTTTTCAATCGTGCGAGTTTAATCGTTTCCTGTCGGTTTTCATGATATATATATATATATATATATATATATATGTATATATATATGTATGTGTGCATTCATAAACTTACGATTACAAGACTCAACATCCATCGCGACGAATGTACGTTTATAAATGTATATATTTCTTTTGTTTTTTTTCTTTCGATTTTTAAACGAAACAATTAAGAAACGAAGAAAGACGAATAGTCTCTTAAGAGACGTGACCGTGCTTTTAGTACTCAGAAACCGTCCACTTTTTATTGTTTTTTTTTCGGCGTGGGAACCGATTTTCAAGCGGGTTATCCGAGTTTCATAAATATTCATGAACGACGCAACGCAGGCGGAGGATCCATGACCTGTGCATTAGTCGGAAGTGTGCTCTGGAGTCGAACGATGAACGTCGGTAATGTTATTTACCTTCTGGATTACATAGTAGAACGGTAACGATGCCGACAAATATTATTTCTCTTTAAGCATCACATTCTGGATATATATTTATGAGATCTCGGTTTGTTCGGTCGAAAAAGAAAATCCTTTTCCGGAATCGTACGAAAAAAAATTTCTTTTTTTTTTTTTTTTTTTCAAAGAATTAACGTTCCCTCGTTATTCTCTTTTTCGACTTTGGATAGGGAATAAAAGATATGATATTTTAGCTGGGTTAGTGAAAAATCCGACAGGACGCCGACAGGAAATTGAATAAAAATCCGAGCGAACGGAAAAGTTCAGGCGTGCAAGCTGTGCCAGTCTGCAGACGGACGAATACGGCGAAGCTAATAGGCGTTACGAGGACGACTTTCAAAGGGCGATGCTCTCCAAGGGTGATGTTGCAAAACGCAACCGAGAGAACGTGATGAGAATGCCAAGCGGCTTTAGAAGAGTTAGCGTATTCGTAGAAATAAGAGAAATAGAAAAAAAGGCTAAGAATAGAAAAGATATAAAAAAAAAGAAAAAAGAAAAAAGAAAAAAAGAAAAAAGAAAAATGTTCCATTCGACGAGGGATATAATTTCAGAGTAAGGGAGAGCACCAATGTGTTTAACGATCGCCACGAAAAATATCGAATGAAATCCTTTTATATCTCGACATGCTTGCCGTGCGAATGAGAAAAAAAGAGAAGAAAGAAAGAAAAAAATATCGAGGCGTTAGAACATTTTAAAGGGATTCGACGACGCTCGACAAAGAATTACATGACTGATAGTCGCGGATCACGCGCGTTTACCCACCAAACCGATATCGCGTTTCGCACATTTTGCTTAACGTAGCGTTAGAAAGTGCAATTTGTTGGTGGGATTTCAGAACGTATATATAGATACCTATAAACTACATAGGTAGGGCGTTGTAACGTATGCACGTACGTCAGTAATATTAGATTGAAGCGGAAATAGCGTTCGGCAACGAGAGGGAATAAATTTGACAAGGATGAAATTTGTCGTGTTATCACATCTTAGACGTTAGAACATTGCCTTGCAAATAGGATCGCGTTCTAACTAAAGACATTATTTTCATCATACGTCTAAATGTATTATTAGAAATTCTGTTGTTACGTTCGACTTTTGTCGATAGATAAATATTACATCACTTTGATATGACATGCGCAATCATTCAATGGCAGATGATTGACGTATTTTATTTTCGGCCAGAACAATAAACGAGATGAATAATAGTAGATCGATAAAACGTGTTACAAACTTTCTCATTATCGACGGCAATAAAATAGAAAGAAAGCTTCTAATTATCTACCGAACTGGCGAAGCATTTACGAAGTTCCCTTTCAGTCATAATTACGATCATATTTGTTCTATAGAAAAATTCTAAGTCTCTCTCTCTCTCTCTCTCTCTCTCTCTCTCTCTCTCTCTCTGTTTCTCTCTCGTAATGAAAAAAATGAAATACTATTTATAACTTCGTCAAGTGTTATTTTTCGATCCATGTCGACTAAGCACTTGTTACTTAACTTAATGAGTTCTATATATTCTCAAAGTTTAAAACTCTTACATAAATCTAACATTTTGTATGTATAGATGTATGTATGTAGAGAATGAACGTTCCGCGAACAATGAATAAGCCTGTAAGTTAAGACTTAAGCCAATCGGCCAATTACAGGCAACTCCGCGCTCGAGCTTTACATCTCTGTGGTAGTAACCAAACAACGCTCGGCTCTCGCTCGATAGGCTTAAGACTTAAGTCTTACATTTTGCATTGTCTAATGGACTTAACTTCGGTCAAACTACGTGCCTGACCTGCTCCGATATAGGTACCTCCTCCCCGTGTTTGTCTGACTATAAACTCGGCACGACTACTGTACCGCATTTCGAAGCAACTCCTCCGAGTCGGTGGAGGCTCCGCGACTGCGAACGAATCTATAATCGTGTGAGTATACATATAAACATACACACATATACATACACACACACACACATACGCACACATACACACATATACAGCCTGACTCTTTAGCTATATCTTGGATATAAGTGTTCCAATCTACCGAGTAAACGAACGTTTTAGTCGCCGTAAAGATCGTGGGGGTAACGCGATAAGTCGAAAGGAAAGTTCACAAACCCGTAGTTTTGCGTGTGATAACGTGAAAATCTTACTTCAAGAAAAGTAATTGAACGAATAACACGAACGAACTGGCTTTTTTACTCTTACTTTTTTTTTCCTTTTTATTGTAAAGTTTCGATAACGCGATTAAAATGTCTCCCTGTGGATTCTTTTCCAAATCGTTGCTGTTTTGTTCTTTTTTGGTTTCTTTTTTTGTCTTTCTTTTCTTCTCTCTTTTTTTTCTTTTTTTTCTTTTCTTTTTTTTCAAACGTTTGTTGTTTTACTTTTATTTCATCTCGTATCATGGCAACTCTATCATGCAATACAAACCACGGCTAATATTCATTCACAATGACTATCTCTCTATATCCGTATAGAAAATTCTATTCTTGGTAAGCCCTATGTAGCCTCTTGTTCGCGAATTACAATTGATACGGACGTTGAGCACTTGCAACGCTTCATTCGGAAGAATAATGATTTCTAAGATATCATTGGTGGTGGTGGTGGGGCAGGCGAGAGAGAGGGAGGGATAAAATCGTCATAGAATTCGATCTTGTATTTATGACTATAGAATGAAATCAATCCCAATTGAAACGTCATCTTAAGTAAAACAACATGGGAAATCAGTTAGTGAATTAGCTTTAATACCTTGTCACGTATCTTTCGCTTAACGTTCGACGTTGAAAGAACGGAAATGATTCAGTCGACGTTGAAAAGTACGGCCGAGTATAATATTGAAAAGCATTTCACGCGATTACCTTACAACACGTCTTTTATCCTGACGTGTTAACTATCATCTCGTACGGCAATGAAGAAGAAGAATAGGACAACGCACATTCGTACATATTGTACGATTAAATCAAACGTATATTTTTTAAGACGAAAAACTAAACAGTGCAAATTTATTATTACGAAACGGTCGTCTTTCAGTTAAGCCGATTTTGCGTTATAATCGGCTTTGAACGGAATCAAAAATTATTATCCGTGTTCATGCCGGCGTACGGATTGAAATCAGCGAAAGACATAACAAGGATTTGGAATATCTCCTTCTTTTTTTTTTTTTTTTTTTTTATTCCACTAATCCAAAAGAAAAATGATATAAAAGATGCGTGAAAATTATTGTAAGGTAGTAGAGTGAAAATTTTTCATTTGTATATATATTTATATACGTAAATACTTTCTATCTATAAAATCAAGGGTGAGAAAAATAAAACTTTACCTTATATCCTTCTAACCGTAGATGTTATTCTTTGTACTTTACAGGTTAGAAGGTGATAAAAATATCTAGGTGGAAAACCAAGATACAATTTTATCATTAGCCAAGCACATAATTGCGAGCGACACTCGAGGAAACCGTCGCACTTAAATCGCATTATTCGTGACACGCCATTATCTTGCTACCGTTTCTCTCACCTAGCTAACCTTCCCCTCTTTCTACAGAGAGAATTTACCCTTCTCTTCGCTACTCACGATGTTTCTTCACGGCCTTCTCTCACGGTCCTCCCTCAGTACGTTCCTTCGGTCGTTCGTTACGTAGCATGCGACTCCATTATCTCTCGACTCCGGCTTAGCGGAGTAATTCCGGAACGGATGACATACCTAAGCCAAGTGGCTCACGTGACGAAATTCATCAAGGACATCGGTAGCCGCATTATTCCGTAGATACATATATCAGCGGTTACGGTTTATTGCCAGTATTCGCGAGGATCGTTCGTTACGCTATATTGTATTTTCCTTTTTTTTTTTTCTTTTTTTTGCTCTGTACGAAGGAAAAAATGGCCATTGGACACTTTTAAATTTCATTTAGATTCGCACGTAATCATGTATTAATGATGATCGCGTATGTAGATTATAAATACATAGATCTATACGCAAGTAATGGAGTAGGCAAATCCTAAAGAGAAACGAAGAAAGAGGAGAAAGCTTCCTTTCTTCGAACATGCTCTTATCGTAGAAGTTAACGAGCACAAGTCACGTTGCGTATTCAGGCTAGTAGCCTTTTTATACTTTCCTTTAGCCCGTTCGAAGCAGTAACTTAACCTCGAGGGAGGTAAAGAGAAGGAGGGCTATGTAGAAGGAACACGAGAGATCGATCCAGTCGCACTCACCTGTAGATGGGTGTCATGTCGTTCTTGTACCAGACGATCAAAATGGCAGAGTCGTGTCCCGAAACGGTCGAGTCGTTGTGTCGTGGTGGACGAATATCGCAGGGTAGCTCGGCCGTACCTCGAAGAACCGCCCTCACGGGGATAGCTGGACCTGTAACGTGAAATCGTCGATAGAATTAACGTCGTCTCTCGGTCGTCGTTCAACGTAATGGAATTTTCCTGACGAACAAGAAAAAAAAGAGAAACAAAAAAATTAAACAAAAAAAAAAAAAAGGAAGAAGAAAAAGTAAAAAGGAACGAGAAAAGGAGGAAAGAAAAGAAAGAAAGAAAGAAAGAAAGAAAATGTACAGTTACGTTCTCGAGATTTGAACGAAGAAAAGAAAGTTTTTCGTTTCTTATTCTGGAGAATATTTCTTTTTCTTCTTTTTTTTTTCTTTTTTTTTTTATTTTTATCCTCTTCTTTACTTTTTCTTTCGTTCCTTCCTTCTTTCTTTCATTCTTTCTTTTTTCCTTTTTTGTTTTTCTTTTCTTTTTTTTTTTTTTTTTTTTTTGAAGGGAAAATATGGCCATCATGAGTAGAAAATTATCGCGTCGTGGTCGTTTCGTTCGCTCGGTGATCTCTTGAGATAGAATCCAGAGAACGTCGAGACGTAACTCAGTACGGAGAAGGACCCTGTTGCGATTTCGCGCCCCAGAAAACGTGAATCTTTCCACCCCTTGACTTCCCGTTGCTTCGACTCGGATATTAAAGAGTCCAAAGGGGAAGAAAGAGAGAAGAGAGAAGAGAGAGAGAGAGAGAGAGAGAGAGACCGAGACCTCTGAATATCTGTGAATTTGTCAACTCGTTCGACCCCGCTGGCTAATTCCAGCAGACCGCAGGATTTTGCCCTTTCGAATATTCGCTGACTCTAAGGAAGAAAATTATTCTTCGTGGGAATAACCTTGATATATTTTAATAGAACAAGGAACGCGCGCGCGAGGGACTATGGAAAGTGCACGCGCGTAAAAACGTGTGCTGACACCAAATTTCCTAGAAACTGTTCCACGGTAGTTTCGCTTGGTGCGAGTCGACGAAGCTGTTACGTCTCCCTTATTACTTTTAGTTCCTATCCGCCTCTCTCTCTCTCTCTCTCTCTCTCTTTCTCTCTCTTTCTCTCTTATCCTGCATTTTCACGGTATCGCTTTCGTATCATTTTAAAAGAAACGTCCGGCAAAGTGAGAAATGTTTTTTGTACAAAAATATTTCCTTTTATGAATTATATTTTTAAAAGTTTAAGATGAATTATTGAAAGAAATATTTTTAGATCGTTCACAGATAATATTTGTTATTCTTGATTATTCCTTTGGTTGACCGCTCTTGGTTAGTTCTCTTGAGTGATTCTGTGGGATCGGTCGAAGGCTACTGTATAGGGAACGGAAGGAGGCAAGAGAAAGCGAGAAGAGAAGATGAGAGAAGGAGAGAAGAGGGACGCGAAGTTAACGTTAATGGAGTTACTCGCTGCTGGGATCACGAATGCTTTTACCTTGCCTTACCTTACCTATCCTTGTATCTACCTATGGCCGAAGCAGTCTCGCGTGTACGACGGTATAAGCGTATAAAACAACGGTTTTCACGGCGTCTGCTAAATTTCCCCTGGGCTGCCTCCGGTGCATTATGAGTCCTGAAGGGTGGCAAGCATGCGTCGTCGCGTAGCTTGCTTCGCGTGATCTTTCCGCCATTGTTACTCCGAGAGGGAGAAGAGGAAAACGGTAAACGTTGAAAAGCGTTTTTAGAAACGAGAAATCCTGGGTCGCGAGATCTTTCATAATCTATCTCTTAAAAGTGTCAGCTTCCATTGTTCCAAGAGCCAACGTTCCAAATCATAAATATTATGAGCATTCTTTTTTTTTTTTTTTCTTACTTTAGGATTTTATCGTACAACTTGAGTTGACCTCGATGAAAGAATAAATTTATTTCGTTCCTTTTATTTATATCGTAAGACGCGAACGTTCAAAAAAATATTTAATACGAGAAAAGAATTTAAAGGATACAACGTGCTTCCGTCCAGATTTTATTCCTAGAGAATTCGTGTTTCGTTCCTTACCATCATCCAGTCTTCCGATTCCGCACTACGCAAAACAGGAAAAGTAATACCGTTTCGACCCGGCGGAAGGAGCGCAACTCTTTATAGAACGTCGCTGAATCGACGACCTGCCGAGAATACATTGTCACGCTGATACAGCGCGAACACGTGTGTGGCCGAGAACGTACGTTGCTCCCTAGTAGCATGTATTAGTAACAAGCATTCGAAAGGAAGGCTGTCAGCGAAATTCCCGACAGACGAGCCGAAACCGAAGCTTTCGTGCATCGGAGAAAGCATAATGGAAATCGAGCGTCGAAGAGCAGCAGCTATAACCTTATATTATATGCATCTATCTCGTTTTCCATGTATTCTCTATCGATTTCTCGCATGATCACTAGAACGAATACATATATATATATATATATATATATATATATATATATATATATATAGATGGGTAGATACGTAGATAATATCAGGTTGAAAAATACAAGCGCGTTAACTCTCGGTCATTCTCGTTCAGCGATCGATTCGAAAGTATCTGCTATAGGATGATACCGGAAATCGGTGTTACGAGTGACTCTCCTCTTCCTCCACCAATCTCAAACCTCGAACCTCATCCAGGTCGACCCCATCCCCATGTGCAGAAATAACCCAAGCGTGCTAGCTCGGTAAGCCGATAATCCGTGGGTCAGACAGTGTCGAGAAGCCGCACAACTTTGCTTGCTCCCTCTCTGCCACTCCGCTTTCGAACGTACCATCCTCAACCCGGAAACGAATATACTTTCCTATCCTCTCAAAACTATTCTCTACTTTTTAATATACGAGGAGCCATACTTTATCTACGGCGTACGGTAACGCTTCTGTCTCTCTTCTCGCTTCGTACGACTTCTCGCGAATGGAGGATCGCGAATGGATTACCATATAAAGCGTGTACAAACAGAGAAGAGACGGGTAAGATGTATGCGAGAGGTTTTCTCGATACGATTTTCAAAGATGACGCGCGCATGACGTGCGCACGCCGTTTATCTCGCACTATAAATTCAACTCTCGAATGGAAGATTCGATTGCTCGGAACGTTTTCTCAACGTAACCGAATGAAGGAAGCTACGATATAACGTTGAAGAATTTTTCCGTAAAACGTTCGTCTCTTTTCGCGATAAGGAAAGTTGAGAGAAGTACCGTAGACCATCGAAAACGAAAGACACAGGACCGTGTTCAATCGATATACAAGCTTAAATGATCTATGATAGACCGAAGGATACACTTGATAAACGAAACGTATGTATAAAGCCAAGATAACTCGTAGTTGGTGTAAGTGTAAGTCGATGACGTTGGGCGTTTGAGAAAAGCGTTGTTCGTCACCTAAGGCGACCAAGCGTGCCACCATATACCATAGTCGTTGCTTTTTGTACCTTGATTTTCTTTTGCTCGCTAACCAACTTCAAAGAGATGAGCGTACGGCCACACTTAATGAAGTTCCTGTTTGCCATCCCGACTTTCCGTAGGAAAATGTGGACCGAAGTGAAGAGGGGAAAAAAATGACCGTTTACAGAACAGAATCGGCACATAGAAATAAAATCCTTGTCTCCTCTCTTTTTACTTGTTTCCTATTATTTTCATACTCCTTTTTTCCCATGTTTTCTTTCAATTCGAAGTAACGAACGTTAGCTTTCACCTATTAACTATATGTTGCTAAAGCATACGAAGAACACTCTTCATTCGGTACATACTTCTTTCAGCGGTAGACTTCAAAGAGCGATTACTTTTCAGATTCGAGTTTTGCTCGGGGATATAGGTCTTCGATAAAGAGAAAGAGAAAGAGAAAGAGAGAGAGAGAGAGAGAGAGGAAGAACATTTCTAGCAACATATTTATTATCTTCACACAAACGCGCATCTTTTCAGTTTACTGTCCGTTATGAAACAAAAATACGAGGATATGAAATAGTAGTTGGACAAATATATCGTGAAATCCTACTCGGTCGTTGGAAATTTTAGGAAATATCCAAGAAGAGAAAAGGAAAAGAATAGAGAGATATAAAGAAAGGGAAACATCGAAGATGTCGCTTTTTCAACGTTTATTCTTTCTTCTTTATCGTCATCACCGACACTAGGAGCTTATCCTGCGGCTTAGTATCCTTATATACTAGTAGAGCAATCTTTCATTTTTCCCAAATATGTTTTTACTCCCGACGGATTGATCCTCAACAGCGAGAAAATAAAACATTAGGATGCCTGGATGGAAGAGTCTTGAGGATGTCGTCCTCGAGAGGATGATACTAATGGTGTAATTCTGCCATCAGCGTCCGGTGTAAGGTACCAAGAAAACGAGAGATGAGAATGTATGACGAAGATGGCTATTATAGAACATCGTTAATGTCTTCCATAAATCGTTTCGCTACCGCAAACCTCTTTTCCGTAGATTTTCGCGCGATATATACCCAGAAGTAGTACGTTGTACAAGCTGGTCAGATATTTTTGTAGAGATAATAAGATAGGAAAATTAAATGAAAGATCACGTTATGTAATAATTTATGTTTCTGCCGTGACAATACGTATAAAATATTTAAACGGATTATCATAGCGAAGTTTTTAAATTTGATAATGTAAGATCGCGCCTGTTCGATGTCACATTTTTATTTCGCGTAAAGGGAATCCGATGGAAAGTGCATTCGTACCGGTTGATAAAATTTACAGTAGGAGAGATAAAAGTGAAAAAGTCTAACGGAAATTCGTTTTTCTTCGTTTCCCTTCATACCTAGATATTCGTCCATTGGACGTTATGACATTTCACCTACAGAACTGCCGATGACCCGTATCGTAGTTTTATAAAGTCTCTACAGAACGATCTTCTCTCTTCCGTTTCCGTTTTAATCAATCGACACTCACGTACGAACATCGAAAATGGATATCGTTCCGTTATAACGTCGGAAGTATGTAATGTAACAAAGGGAGATCCTCAAGCTCTAGAGGTAACTTGAAAATTCTCTCGTTTAATTCAAATCGAGACACGACGATGTCGCGTCTATCTTCGGTCATAGTACGCTCGAACGAATCGAAGGATTCCCGTAGGAAGTCGGAATCCTTC